GTGTCTTTAAGTTGTACAGGTTTGTGATTTTGCCCTTCTTCTTGACATAATGGCCTATAATGGTGTGGTGTTGGACTTGGACTATCATGGCGAATTGAAGTTGGCCATTTTACCGGTGGTGTGTCTGGTCGTTTTCGTCTTGCAGCCTCGTTTACATCGGCTTCATCCACCATTACTCGCTGAAAAACAGTTTATTAATGCAAAGAGTTATTCCAACAAAATACTGGAAAACAGACCTTTTGCATACTAGATTACACTCTATAAAAGAAAATGCTGCAAATGCCTGCCATCAATTTAACATCCAATTCAGTTTTTCTACAGCAACATTAAAAAAAGCTTTGTCCAATAACTGAACTGATGCTTATAAAAGGACTACAACTTTACAATTGTACAATGTACCTGATCTTTTGCAAGCTTGTAGGGATTTCCAAACATATGAGCCCTATTTTGGCCTGGATCGATTTCTCTGAGTTGATTACTTTGTCGAAGTACTTTACCATAGTTTCCCATCTCAGCAATAGCAACAGTGTGTCTTGCATCTGAAAATAAGCAGACAGAAAAATATCTAACAATTGCATTTGTCATTTTGTGAATGAGAAGAACCTTTTCTGACCTTCATCTTGTAAGATAGTCGATGTTGCAGCCATATGAAAGAAATTTATCCGCATTCTTGACAGCTGATCTAACAGCTCATTTCTGTTTATGTCAAATGGATTTTTGTAGCTTTGAGGTTGCGTCACCTATAAACAAATAAGACTCATGGTAAGTCAAGTTACACTATTAATAGGTACTACTACATAACAGCATCATTATTCAAATGGACCATTAATAATCTGAGGAAGCAATACATAAAATATGTACCTAATAACCTTGCTATCTAAGAAGTAACAAAACAATTTTTTGAAATATTTGGATCAGTTAGGATTATCAATGACTGCAAACTTTTGAAATGTAACTGGAACACTTAGCTTATAGCCCAATCATAACTTTATATTATCAGCTGTGTTAGTAAACATTTTATTGTTTATCAAATAAAATATAGGATATACAACAATAACTGTTTAAGCCTGTAAGAAAAACCACATACATTGACTTCTTTCATCCCTTGTACTGCTTCATGTGTGCTTAACTCATTATCACTAACAAAAAGAAAGAAAATAAAAGAGCTTTAAGTAAATGAACACTTTAAAATTATGCACAATTAAACAGAAAACAGGTGGCTTATTAGCATTTTGCAACTCCTGAACATATTTTTAATATTAATAATATTACAAGCAAAGTCTGTTTCTTGGTACTATAATATTGCTGTAAAAAAGGCCCATCTCAGTTATAACCATGCTTGTCTGAATATCAGAAGTGCTATTTCAAGCATTAAATTTTTAACAATTAATAACAATAAATATTGTCAGTATCAATATCACAAGACTTGAATGTCACTTACAACATTCATAAACAGACTAATTATGATCATTGATAATTACTGTCACAAAATATCATTTTCATATCATAGAAAACAATCACCAAAAATTATTGCAACCATTGCAGCAAATTGGAAACAGGCATAAGACCACCAACAGTTATTTCAATAATTATACAAAATACTCTTATGCCACAGTCGCAATATCATTGTCACGTCAAAACTCTCTCTTATTAATCCACAATACTTGCAAACATTATCAACACATACTTGTTATGTCTTGAAACATTCTTTGGTTTGTTCACTAAACCATGATTGAGTAGCATATGGAAATCCTTCTTGTCTGTTGACGGCAGCTCAGGTGTTTGAATGCTAAAACATATTAAGACAAGAAAGATTCACGGATATGAATATCTGGCATTATCATATTTGCTATCACATACTAATTAAGTATCAAGAGTCAATTTACCTAGGTATTATTTTGTTTGGGGTCGATGCAATGGATTTACCAACACCAGCCTCAAATCTCTTGGCTTCAAGCTTACTCTGAAATTGAACAAAACAGCACTTCAGTTGAAAACCAATAACAAATAATGGATGACAAATAATATATACAATATAATAAAATTGAAATGTTAATTGTCCAGTTTTGTATATAAAAAATGAACAAGTAGAAAAGGTGCATAACTACATTTGAAGAAAGAAAAAGAAGAATAATGGAAGGTAAGGAACCTTGCAAAATGTCCACATTCCTAATATGTTCAAATAATAATTAGTGCATTGCCCCTAACCTTAGTATGCAATATCAAAGTTAAGCTACGTACCTGTTGTTTGACACTTTTGAGATAGTTCACTACACTATAACCAAGTGATCCATCTAAGTGGTCTGGAACTAATGATGTAGGGATTCCCATTTTCCTGAATGCATTCCGTAGAGGCTGTAAAGAAATGAATAGCAAAATCTATCAAACATGTTTTTAAGATAAAATAAACCAAAAAAACGAACAAGGCTGCCTCACAGTGTACCTTGAGACATTCAATTGTTATTGACATTGTTTTTTGATGCTATCCAACAGATATATTATTATGGCTTTATATGGTGGATATGGAACAGATATTACAAATAACTACTAAATAGAATTGATTAGACAACAGATGACTATGATGCTGTTATGCCGTAAATTACAATTTATACTCACAGCAGCGTAGTAGCTTGGCATTGTGGCCAAGTACGACTCAAAGGTTTGCTTCCATTTAAGAACTGGCTTGAGTTTGTGGACTTTGATAAGTTCATCTACAAAAAATTGAAATGACAGATAAATGATTTTTCTTTTTTTAACAAAATAAAACATAAATTTATTAGTAAAACAATATTGAAGTTARAGTGTGGCAGAATCAAGCAGTAACTACAAAACAGCCTCAGCRGCGCCAAATTCAATTGAATTCAATGAAAGAAAATGCCAAACATTTATTCGCTTTTTTCTTTCTTATTGATAAWATGTTTCAATGGACTTTGGTTGCTGAGTTATGCAATCAGTCACACTGTATCTGCCCTACACAATCCTCAACAGATTTTAGCTTAAAATGCTATACTTATATACCAATGCCTGTGTCATATGCCTCACTATCAATAGCCATTGAATGTGATGTTAATTCTGCTTAATGTTCCTACAAACCAACCTCTTATGAATATATGTAGAGGTGGATCAGGCAGCTGGAAGGCTCTGTAGGAAGGAGCCATCAATTTAAGCATCCTGCAGAGGTTGAAGGTTTTATCAACCAGTGTTCACATAAATAATCACAATTATGATGCTTAAATCCATTTATCATTCATTGCCCTCTTGATAAGCAAACAATTGTCACTGAGCGTACTTAGTCAAGTTGGAGAGGATTCCTCCGCCATTGCTCTCCAACCAAACAAACCACAAAGCAACAGGAAGAAATAAACAGACTACTGAGACCTGTCTGAGTATAACGAAACCATTCTAGTATTATTTTACTCACCAAGAAGAGGAAATAATAGTGGATAATTGTAGGGAAGAACAAAAAGATTGACAGACTGGAGGTTGGTACTGGCCTTTAGATAGCCAAATGGGCATCCAAAATCACCAACTTTATCGCTTTTTCTTCCACTACTGTATATGAATGTCTGAAGAAAAAAAACAATATAATATTATATAAATGATTTGCACTCACTGTAACCACAAATTTATTTCTCCACTAGAGTGATCAATGTAGTAAGTGTAAAGAACAGTTATACCATTTGTACTATTTTATGCTCTTCTTTTGTTCAACTAGCACTAATTTGAACAATTTAGTAATTATAGTGTTTCAAGATTTTACTGGAAGCACTCTATCAGCAAAATGAAAGACARGTAAACACTAAGTTGCTACTATAATTATCTTGGTGAACTACAACACATTTTCAAATAATATAGTTTTAGCATATTAGCAGTAACATTATGTGTAAATCATCCAATAATTACATTTCGCTGGAATGACTGCAATTCTTGTAAAAAACAACAACACAAGTAGGGAGTTATATTTAGATCTGTCATGATCAAACTTGCTACGATAGAGGTGTTTCAATAAGGAATTTCTAATTGTATACAACCAGAGAACACTCATCCATTCTTGACACTTTGGACTTGATTACAAGAGTTGGTACAAATATATCACTCATTCTAACCTGCCAACAAGTCGATGGAGATTTTCTCTCTAGTATATATTGGGTCAGTGGTGATGGTTCAAGCTCATATTTGTCAAATGGTAGGTTTTCTACTAAATGAGGTTCTGAGTCCACACAGGAGAAGAAGATTGTAGGCTGAGCATCCCTTGGAGGCTGAAAATGAGTCAAGTATTAATACTYGTCTGAAATGATTTGATGTATGAAAAATCCCATAATTCTGCATTGAAATGTTTCAGAATTCTGATGTTAGAATTGCCATAAGCACCACACAATCTATTACTTACAAGTTTTGTCATAGAAGGATCAGGCCAAAACGTCTCTGGTATTGGCCAATAGCCAGTAGGCACTATGTCTCTCTCGATATACATCTTTCTTGTTATATAAATCATCTTACAGCAACTCGTCCATGCAGCGGGCTGGGTTGCCTGTGGTATAGGTGATGCTGTTGCAGACCTTGAAATTCCGTTGGGCATTGCTACTGCTTCATCTTGAAGACCATTAATAACAGGAGATAATGCCATGGAATCACCACGCTGGGGTAACGAAGGTGTAGAGACTCCACTGAAGAGTAAAGAAATAAGCATCCATGTATAATTCACACATAAATCAACAAATTTTTTAATGAGAACCAGCAAAGGAACATTGAGAGTTATAATGCTTTTGAAAACTCAGAGAAATTATAGAGAAAAATAGAAATACCAACTGCATTACAGAGCATCAACTCAAGGTTACAATAAAGTTGATACGATATAAAATAAAAACATACAAATGCAGGCAATCTCACTAGTATTTTTACAATCCTCAAAACACAGACTAACAAAGCATAAATAAAAATTTACCTGGTTGAAATGCCTTCTGTTTTTATGACTGGATGGCAATTTTCAGCATTTTCCATTTGTTTGTTTTTATGCTCTCCTCCTTCAACACCATTGCCATTATGCTGGTTGTTAACACTTGGGGGTGGGGTGGGGGAATCTGTTTCTCTCATAGCGTTGTTTCTAACAGCTAATAACATTGAAATGGCAAATGTTAACCATGGAAATACTAGTATATAGCAAATAAAAATGAAATATAATATAATAATTATATCTATTTATAAACATTAGAGACAGAGAAATTACATGCTTGGTTCAATTTAGAGAGGAAAAAGTATATTTTACCATCAACCAAATTAGAAGAAGTGTCTGGTCCTCCTATTTTTTCAAAGTTGACAACAATTCCACATTGGATTTTCTGAGCAATTGATTCAAGGGCCTGYTTTAGGGACTTTGAGGATGAGGCTTTATAACATTTTCCTAAATAAGAAAAAAGCATAAGATAAGATCAAATGTATTCTCTTTTGCATTTTTATTTAACAGGGTTAGCCTCATTATCATAGAGACATGTAAGAGAGTATTGGAAAAAAAGACAGTGTTCATTTGTTTCTGCTAAGTTGTTCATGCATTATAAGGCATTTAACATTGGAACTGGAAAAGGCCAAGTTGTGAGGCAATACACCTTTAATAAATTTACATCAGGCAAATAATAATGTTTTTGTAAATAATCTATCATACAGTAACAGCTGTTGCACATTTTGAAAATGATAAAAAAGGTGTGGAAATAAACTATCAACAATCATATGTACCTCCTGTAACATCACACATGGCCCCAAGGGCTGGCTCAGCACTGAGACAAGGATTCACTCCTTTTGGTCCCCCACGGCAACCACCCATTCTTAAAACTAATCCAAACAGTCTCTGGTCCCATCGAAAAGGCTCCTTRGTGAGGTCACTTCCTGGTAGATTACTATGCATTGGTAAGTGAAGCTAGAAAAGAATTGTATTGCCAAGTTAGAATACATTTATGTAGTGATTTTTATGAGTGAATACATTATAAAAGCAAACAATAACTCATTTACAGCCCAATGGAAGTCCCAAGACAGTCCTTCTTATAAAGGTATCACTGTATTTGAATATTTTAACTTTTTATGACTTTAATTCAATGATGATTGGAAATTGTAAAACTAATCACAACATTTGGGCAAATGAAAACTTAACCTTGCAAAATTTTCATAAACTCTAAAAGTTCTTTGTGAATGATGCTAATTTATATCAGCAACAATTATCAATTTGATAAACTACTGATTCATACCTCTCTTTCAATGTCGTTTTTAGTTACTAGACTACTGCCATCTGTGATACATATAACAATTGCCGGATCCACATAAAAAGGTTTACGTCCCTATAACAAGTAAATATAAATACTCAATAATAAAACAAAAGTAATAAATATGATGAATGCAGCATATTATTAATCACATGACAAGTGACCATTTCCCAACCCTAACCCATAAAAATTGTCACACTATAGAWAAGAAAYCCAAAATTGTGAWCACAACCCTTTTGACTTGAAAACATTTCCCACTGATATATTTTACCATGCACAGCTGAACATAAAATTTAAGAGTCTTTTACCAAATAATTCAAATATCAATTTAAACACACTTTTATAAAGAGTCTATCTAGAACAAGACTTACAACAGTTTCTTATTTTTAAAAAAAATGAAAAATCTTCAGACAAATTACATAATCCATAAAATAAAATAATGATGAAAGACAATTCAGACACACTTTGTATTACTAATCTAGAAGCCTAAAAAAACAGCCTAAAAAACAGCCTAATACCAGAAATGGGCTCTTATTTAGAAGATGAAAATAAATGAATAAAAAAAAAATATAAAAGCCATAACCCAAGCATACTGTTCAAAGACCGGGGCATTTTGGCATAAATTAATGTACATATAATACCACCCAGTTATCAGTCTTTGGTATCATATCTCTCTTATAAACATAAGAACCTGCTTAGAATCTGAATAGCCCAGAAAAGTGCCAACTCAACTAAATTATGCTAAAACGTGGAAAACCTATATTCTTATATCATCAGGCAAGAACTATATTCAACTAGTTAAAAAATGCTTGATAAGGAATTTCTTACCAATCCATAATTGTCTATTCCTGATTGTAAGCGATATAAATTTAGCAAGTCAAAGCTTTCTTTCAGAGCAGATCCCAATGTAGAAAGACCTGTTGCTTGAAGGTTTCTTAATTCATTTGAAAATACTTGCTGAGTTGCATTAGTTCCCCATCCAACCTGGAAACGAAAGATCAAATATCAAGGAATATAGAAACAAAACTTGTGTCAAAGATTAAAGTTTATGTCAGATTATGTTAATTTATTTAAAAATTGAAAATAAAAGAATTTTAATAGTAAGTATTATATATTTAGTACTCATAAGTACATTTTGATCTAGAAACTATTAATATTTARTTTAAAAATAAAAAGTGACAAACACTTGAAAAATTTTATTTACCGGACCAATTCATTTTAATCCGCCAATCAAATACTCTCTTCTATGAAAATATGGCATTCGCCAATGAAAAGCTATGTTCTATCACGTAAATAGCCATCCAATAACACAGACCATGAGCCTTAGCGGACCTCATCTACATGACGAAACAAAGGTAGCGATCTGCAAGCTTTCGTTTCAAAGAAGCTAAAACTTGGCAAATTTACCCAAAAACAAATGAAGTGGATGCAAAAAACTGGCAATTTACGTTTATATACGTCTTTGCTTGGCATCGATGAAAAATTTTCACAGAAATGTTGTCCAGAGGACGCTTAAACAATGCACGCATTTCAACCTCACCTTGACGGAACCAGGCGGCTCGTCTAACGTCACAAGCATTAATCGATCAGTTCGACTCGCCTCATCTCGTTGTCTGATCTGTATAAAAGACAATTTACCCTATAAATACTTTGATTCACAGTCTTTCAATACGGCCCTTTGCACAGAATTGATTTTTCTTTACCTTAATAAAAGTTTCCACGGCATTTTTGGCGACATCTAGTAAAGTAGTACCGAGGGACGTTCTCTGATTCATAGAAGCAGAGGTATCGACAACAAAAACTAAGTTCACCATTGTGTTTGGCAAAGTGTTATGTGTTGTTTTGGGTTATTAGTTGGTTTTGAAAAGCTTTCGTTTGCGAGAACGACCGCATATTTTCTCCCCGCTCGTTATGGCGCCCGTTCTCGAGCTGCTTTGGGGCGCAGCTAAGACTTCTACGCCTCCACGATGCAGAACACACCACGTGACATGATATCGACCCCATGATGCATTCGATCTAAATTTATCTTACGGGGTAGTAGCTAGTCAGACAAAGAAATAGATTTAACATACCGAACCCTCCCTAGAGAAAATAATAATAGTTGTTTGCGCATGCGTTTTCAAGGAAAAATATTTTCTTTTGTTTTACGCAACGTGGCGGGCTGTTAGCAAGTTGAAGAAAATTCAGCTGAGGTTTGATGGTTTAAGGATCAGATTAGGATTGAACATATTATGATTAGGAAACGCTGTTTTGATATCACATTTAGCACAAAGGGAGCTACCGCTAGCTACGGTAAAGACATTCAGTCATAGTTTATTTGTAATATTTGTCTTACTTGATGTAAGCTTAAGTTAAGCTTCTTACATATCGGGATGTGAAAACAGAGACTGTTCCCTTAAATACTGCTTAAACTTTCGTCAACGTTATTTTAACGGACAGTTCATTCCATTCGCACTTCCACTTTCGAAAGGGCTACCTCAGCTTCCTTGTTCTGAAAACAATAAAATTTATGACCTCATTCAACATTGGGTTTTGAGAGCGTTCAAATTTCACGTCAAATCAGCAGATCATTGATTAGTTCAGGGAAGAAGACATCAACATCATTGCGAAATTTATGATAATAAATATGAARATTTTTACAATGTGTTTTTCCTGTTTCTCATTTTATTTATAGTGACTTGTTTGTGTACTTAGCGTACCCAGAGATCGTCATGCAAAAGTGAAAAATAAAAAAAAACTACCATTCATACTATATTTTGAATTTACTATAGATACATATATTTTGTACACGTGAAGCTCAATTAAAAAATAAAGAAAAAAAATAAAATTACAAGTTATATCGTTGCTATTTCACATCCACTTTCRTAGGTTTTCTCGGTTTTCTCATCAGTCTTCATTGCTTCCTGCCATTCTAACCAACCACCAGTAAAGTTGTGTGTCCTATTAAAAATAGATACATTATTATTTTTTCCCGCAAATGCAAAAAATTTAATCCTTAATTTCGGATTGAGTAAAACTTTCTTTTATGATGGATAATAATCAATATTTTTATAGCATATTTCTAACTTCGMGTCCGTGCGAAATGACCGCAGGCTCAAAAGTAATACCGGTTTGACTGGAATTTATCAATGTTTACCTTTTGTATCCAAGCTGTTGGATGATTTRGATGGCGTTTTGCGCCCTTTTACCAGTTCTACAATGGAATGTGATGTTGTCATCATCTAGSTTTGGCTTGGGTACGTTATACTTTTGTTCAAATTCATCSGGTGACAAGATAAAAGCATCTTTGACTTCGTCTACTAAAAGTGACGGAAAACTACTGAGTATTGTGGATAGTCAATTAACATACTTGCGTCACGTAAGMTCATCACGCAATGCAAATAGAGTTACAGTGAAACGTATAACTTACGTGGGATATTTGTAGCTCCAGGAATTTTACCAGTTTCTTCAATTTCCTCTCGACTTCGAACATCAATTAGTTGGATATTACTTTTCTCTATAAGCTTTTTAACGCATGGCAACGAAACCTCTTCGTTGTCTAAACATGGCTCTGTAGAGAATCTCTGAAAAGCAACTCCAGTTGCCCTGAAAGTGTTTGTTATTGTTCTTGACAATACATAACTTCGGRTTGATAAAATAAACGGCAATGTGTTTATAGCTCGCCGCAACGCCATGTCAGTGTCAATATGCAATCGAACAGGCAGAAGGACAAAACAGCTTTACTTTATAAGGAAAATTCATGCTCAGTCGTCGTCATAATGACTTTGCAATTTATGACGTCACGCCATCTGAAACGTGCACTTTCTCCTGTGCCTTGTGAAAAGTGTTAATAAAAACTCCAATAATGATTAAGATGATAATGTAACTTTGGAATAATAAAGATAACTAAAGAAATGCATAGTTGTAAAATTAATTGAATTTCATTGCTACCCCTATTACATTCATGACACATATACCARGACTACAAAAACAGCAAAGTGACTGATAAGCTATTATTAGTCTTTAATGTATTCTGAAAATAATTAAAGCTTTATGAAGGYAATGTCTATTTTGACTGAAATATAACAATAATTTTACCAAAAAGCTACCATATGTTTTCATGATGTTCACAAGGAGCGTTTCATAGCTTTCTAGTTTTAGGYAAAAAAATGTCTGTAAAATTGTGAAAAAGGAACAAAATTTAAAATCGAACAAATTGTAAACGGTTTGGAGTTGATTGTTCTTTTTTTTTGAAACAGTCTGGATTTCATAAAATTTTAAAAACTCAAGTGGACCAAACAAAGAGTGCAGTAAGTGGGTTCACTTTGAAGTTTTGAACATTTTTTGACGTCAAGAGTGTGTCAATAAAAGGACATATAATAAAAGAACTGCGTACAATTTGTTGTTTTTTTTATTGGCATCTCTTTTTTTTCTCCTCARGTAGGAGATGTGATCATGTTTGCACAGTATGTATGTCCTCTTATTTGACACACTCTAATCAGCCAATCGGCGCTGGAGAATATACACATTAGTGTGGTATTTAAAACATGTTATCCCATTTTTTTCAATTTTCTTCTAAGCCAGTAAMAAGTAAAATGTACAAAACAGATGAGTTTTAACAATTGTTTTAAATAAATTTGACATGTGATGAACTATAAAGAAGAGCTTAATTTCCATTTTACTGATTGCCTCTTTTCAGGCATGTTTCCCARTCATCAAAGCCACCAGGATAGTGTCTGCTCCTAAACAAAAGACAAGACTTAATTAGATTAAAAATGAAGATGAAAAATCGAATGCATGGATCTCAGAAAATGTACTCCATGAGCCGAGTCAGTATCTCCTCTTGAATCATGGAAGGGGAGAAACTCTTTCTGTTTGCAGAGTTTTCACTTGTAACTTACATTTTAAATCCCAATTGATGGACTTGATTCAAAGCGTGTTTACTCCTAATCCCTGCCTTGCAGTGGAATACAATGTTTGCATCTTTTCGCTTTGGCTTTTTGGCATTGTATTTTTCCATGAATTGCTTGGGCTTCATGGTGAAAGCATCTGGAATATCACCCACTGCAATTTAAGGTGTTTGTTATCATATTAAGTTATCATCAAATTAAAATATTCTAGTTTTATTCTTGTCCTGCATGCTCACAAAATGTATTTTCTGATTYAAGTTAAACCTGCAGAACATCAACTGGAAATGAATTATTTATAATGCTTCCTTCTTGTACAATTTGTATTTTATTTCAGCTTACCTCGTTTCCTTTCCTTTTTTTTTATTCTTAGTCATTTTTGGGGGTATTTCATTGATTCATCATTTCCATGTTTTACTTCATTGACATCTTCGTATTTGTTTCCTTTAGTTGTCTTACTACTTTTTCCTTACTATCTCATGGCCAATTTAACACAAATGGGAATAAATAAAAGAAAACAAAAAACTTACACGGTACATTGACAGAATTTGGTATTTTTCCCGATTCTTGCAGCTCGTACGGTTCTCGAACATCTATCAGCTGAATGTCATTTGCAGCTATCATTGCTTTTAATTCTTCTATGTTAACTGTACTTGGATCTTTTGGTGGAGTTGGTGGTGTCGCTTCTGTTGTTATGTCCCTTTTAGCGCAAGCACAATGTCCCTGTTCAGTGACTCCTAGCATYTGAGTAAAWCGTTGTCTTGTCGTCATGATAGTACAATTTTTAGCTCCAACACTCCAAAACCGATGCATAGTAATCATTGTAAAAAGAGACAAACTCCTTATAGCTTGGCAAGGCTTCATATTGACTTTTTTCCCCAATGAAATCCTTGCAAAAGTTGGCAAAGAGTGCCTAAATAGGCGAATATTCAAAGACATAACCTTGTTGCCTCGTAGCGTGACAGCTGAGTGGACTATAGTGCGGAGACTGGGGCAAGTGAAAATAAATAATATATATTCTGTGGAGACTTAACTAAATATTGAACAATTTTGTTTGTTTCGTAATTTTAGATCTACTTTTCTTTTTAAAAGTAAACACGATTTTTTGTAAAAGACCTAAAATTTCAGCTACAACAAATTCACAGCGTCTAGGTTTTGGGCTCCCTGTTGAAAATGTGAATCGCAAAAGCTGCTGGGATATCTTTTAGCCGCCATCTTTGTACAAGTTGTTTGAAGGTTGACGATGTGGTGGGAAATTATACCCCCGTTTGCCATTATGGTTGGATGCATCACGTTTACAGGTGTAGGGATGAAGCTMTTAGATAAAGCATTTCACAATGGAAAGGTAAGAAAAAAGATCAGTATTGTTATTACAAGTTGTATACTGCCATGAGGAATCAAGTTTTTAAAAGATGGCTACCATCTTTGTGAAATTACTTTTGCTATCTTTGTAACCTTTTTAGCCCAAAAGGTATAATGTTGATGATTTTGCAAGAAGATTGATGGATAGAGATAAAGAAATTACTGGYAATGAATATGTACAAAAGGTATGTTGGTGATAACTAAATATTAAGATTGCTAATGTTTATCAAGCTCATKTTTGGTCACGAGCCATGGTTGAAACTTGAAGAACGTAGGTGAAATCGCAACTCAAAGTATCATATCATGTAATAATATTATCACAGGTTTTTAAACCAATGAAATTCTTCCTTTCAGGGATTATAATAATGTTAGCAGAATACATTATGGTGGTGGCAGTGTACTAGTGCAAGGATTATTACTGTGTGAACTGAATTCATTGATGAGATCTGTTTTATATTTGTAAATAAATATTTGGAATCCAGTATTGCCTTTGTCAGACATAGAAACATTTTTGGTGTTGACTTCATTGATAACCAAAGAATTTCATTGCTTCTTCTAAGTTAAAATTCTGATTAAAAGTTGTGGTTTGGAAGTCTCCTCTCAAAGGAATTTTTTCTGTTTCATGCTCATTTTTTTACCAAGACTCTCCTAAACCTTCAGCATCAACAACATCAAACAAGCCGTGTAATATCTAAAATACACTCTTTATTGATATAAATTAATATTTATAACTATTTTGACGTTAATTTTGTGCAAATAATTTAAAATGGGAATACCAATAGTCCTCACTAATAGTTGAATTTTGTAAAACCATGATATTTTTTGTTTTTGTCATGACTACATGTAAAATGGTAATASCAAAATGTTTTTACATAAAGCTTACAAGATGCACACAACCAATTCTGAATTATATTTACATTATGCAGCCATGCTGTACAACTAATAATCTAAACTCATTAAGATAGCTGTTCCTCGTTTGATCCAGTGATCTGATGTCATGGCACCAGCCTTTAAGTCTATAGCCACAACAAACGATGCACGATCAGATGTGCCAGCACGGTTTGGATAGTAGTAGCATGGACATGTGTACATCCCTGAATAAAAAGAGAAAATAATAAGTTATTTAGAGTATAATATTGAATTTTGTARTTGAATACTATATGTACCTTTGCCTGCTTTCTTCTTGTTTTCTACTGGTTTGAAGTGAATGGTTGGCATAGGACTTACAAGCATCATTGGACTTGCTTCAACAAGACAAGCATTTTTCTTYTCCCATCCTGCACCCTCAAGGAACAAACCTTTGATCCATACACCATCCTGAAAATGAACCATAATTAGTAAATCTTAGGTCGCAATTATTCCAAAAATCATTTTTCATTAATAACTCCTCCAAGAAACTACAACAACGAAAAAACTTGTTTTGGGGTGATAGGGACAATAATATAGACACTCAACTTTAGGGAAGGGTTATTCATTCTGCTGTAATAAGGAATAAGACTTATAGAATAAGGCTGGTCTGATGTCCTACCTTAGGCTGTTGTGTGATGTTACTGTCATCCACGGTAGCAACAACAAACTCCCAGGACAGAGAATCCACTGATATATTATTCTGACGGGCACATGTCTGCAGTACAGCAGTAAGAAAACCAGTGGGGAACGTAAAGGCTGATAACCAGAAGATAATTGGTTGATGGGCTGTGGTGGCCCACTTGTCAAARTGATCCACTCTATGCACAAGATCACGTGTCCATGCTGCTAAAGGCTTGTTAGAAGGGTAGGCCTTGAACATGAAATAATAAAGAATATCTTAAATTAAGCACAGGAACAACTTTTATTGCTATAATCTCTCTATCAACTTAATGCATTGCTCTAACAACCTATTCTGTGACGACCTTGATCAATTAAGGGGAAACACATGTATGCAGAACTATAAATTGAATGTAGCTTATAAGACAAAGTCCCTCACCTTTCCCCATAGAGGAGGAACTCGAGCATCATATATGCAGTTGAATGTTTCTTCCAAATCAGATGACATGACTACCAAACCTTTGATACCCTTCTCAAGGTCAATGAGGGACTTCTTGATAATACGAAGCAGTCTGTTGAATCTTTCAATCTGTGCGCACACACAAAAAAAGAAATTTGATACCTTAAACTGGAGCTCAATATTCTAACAATGTTTTGAACTATAACATAACATTAATACATTACAACATAATAGTAACTAACTTGTAGTTCACAGACTTAATAGAACTGTTACCTCRTGAAGGAGTACAACATTGAGTGGAGATGGATCATCAGCTAATATCTTTGCTGTCTGTTCATAGTCGATTTCCTCAGGAACTTTTTTAAGGACGTCAGCTGCAAGTTCTAACACCTACCAAGTAATAAAATAAATTTAAATATTACCAGACATACACATGTCCAGACATACACTTAATTGGTACTAAATTATGTACCTTTTCTTCTTTACTTTCCCCTTGTCCACCAGACACAACTTGAGGTTGTAATGACAGCAATGTGTCTGACAGAGTCCTGAAGCACAAATTAAAACAGMTTGCTCTTAAATCTACTTAATAAAAGTACAAGGATGCATCAAGATTTCTACACGACATCTTATCAATTTACCTTGTTTCTATGATCTGACTTGCAATGTCAGCATTAGGGTGTTGGCCAAATGTTTCAGGGTGATCAACGTTTGGTAACATACTTATGTACTCCTACAACACAATAACAGAGTTTTGAGGGAACAATAAAGAGTCCAGCTACAATTCCACACTGAATATTGACAAGCATGTCCATCGCCTATGCATGATGAATGTATATATATATTGACTAATAATATACAGTATTTATAATTTTTTATTAAATATATATATGATATCAAAGAGGCAAGATTTTGCTGTAACTCTGAGTTTCATGCTACGCACTCATCAGACAGTATTATATAACTAGCTCTACACTTTATGTGTATTGAGCTCTCTTTAATGGGATCAGTCACTTCCTCATACAATTAATTTTTTATTAATAATTTACCCTGTATGTTGACAATGGCCCATCCTTGGGTATGTAGTAAGTAGGTAATGATGACAATCTGGAGAAAGAATGAAAAGAATTAGTGATATAACTTACTATAGTTTAATTACTAATAAGTGAAATGTGCTTTGACTTACTTGAAATAAGGTGTTTGTAGTGCCGTGTCATTGAATGATTCATTGATATAAGAATGTAGAAGACGACGATCCCAGTCGTCAGTCACATGACCTCCATAATTGACGCCAGCAATCTGCATTGTTCAAAGCACCACACATTAGTCATACATTGTGAAAAGCCTGATTTTTTTATAAAAAAAGACATATCATACCAAGTATTTCAGGGCATCCCAGGGTGTTTCTTCATATTCATCCAAATAGATGCTCAGTAGATTTTCAGAAACCTAGTGACAAACAGAAAAAAAAAAACGTTTATTTTGATTTGTGTATAGGGAAATGTGCTGTAACTGCACATATTCGATAATATGTTTTGTTCACTAGTTGTTTTTGTTTTGTTTTAATTGTTTTTTTGAGTCCAAAAGCAAGCAAACTGGTTCATGGAATCAACATTTAAACATCAATGTCCAAAAAGAGCCGACAGAGATTAAAATACCTCAAAATCTGAGTCATTAAAGCCATATACAATGTTCCAACCCAGCATGAGAAATTTTCTTCTCTCCAGCAAAACACTGTGGAAAAAGCATAAAGCAAACAGCATCTTCTTGTACTTGTCTTGTTTGTGACAACGAGAAAACTGCTGTTCRGTCACCAGTTGATAAAGACGTTTCATGTTAGCTTTCAGGCCCTAATGAAGAAAGAATGACACAGATGATTGTTAGACACTATTCAGCTGTTTTGAATTCAAAACAATGTCTAATCACAATGTTAGATTGCTGATTCTGAAACAGGTGCCACTTTGACAAAATAGACATTATTACACCAATCACACATTCAATGTTGATAAAGTGTGMGAATATGTGATTAGATAACAATGCTATTAGTTCTATCCCTGTTTTAGACTGACTATTGTTTCATTGGTCAATATTTGTGGTCCCACTTTCAGTCTGTTTGCCATTATGCAAAATATATTTCACTATCCCGCAATGAAATACAAATTTAATATTACCTTTGGTGGTTCAGTTGTCATTTTAATTCCAACTTGAAGGATTGAGATGGGGAAATCAGGATTAGGGCTGCTACTAAGCCAAAGCCTAAAGTCAGGATGAGGATCTTCTACTTGAAGCTGTTCAACAAGTTTATCAAGCTGAGGCATCCAGCTTAGRGATAAATGACAGTTTGCCAAGAACACCCAGTTACCCTAGTGATGAAATACACAATATGGTTAATACAATAACTTACTATAAAAACAACTTGAGATTAATTGTGGTAATGCTTAACTCACATCTTTSACACCCTCTTTGATCATTCTGGTAGCAATTGGAGCTTGTCCRTGTCCCAAAGATAATGCATGGAAGCGATTGGACATGCCACAATTCTCTGCCAATTGCAACAAAGCACTTGTTGGATCCTGAAATATAGAAAGATAGAAACTTACAATTGACAAAAATCCASAAAAATTATCTTTCTTGATATCTCTCATCTTACCACACCAGGTGAAAGTACAAAAATCAATGGCGTCCTGGTCGATGAATCCTCTACCACAGATGACATGTCAAGGACAGGGGGCTCCACAAATCTGCCAAAGAAAAATACCATTTATTTATTTATTACACTTCATTGCACTATCATGAAATTATCAATAAATACTACAGAAAAATGACGTAAACATTTCCATACTTTGATCCAAGGTTGTTGACAATGAAGGAAGTTGCAGTAAAAGAAACCCTGTCAGGGCGTAGTGACCTCACAACCAGCATTCTTTGCAGCTCATTACAAGCATTCTCCCATTCACCTATGGGAAGAAAAATACTTAGAAAACTGCAGTAATGAGAGTCAACTTAGAA